CCTGACAATACCTGAAATTTGTAGTAGAGTCTTGGATATGAAGTATTCAATATGGTCTCCTTCAGCGCCTTCAGCAGCCAGCACATCTGCTCGTTCATTCCCACGTATTCCAAGATGGGAAGGGATCCACAGAAACTTGATGACTCTTCCCTGATTGGTAAGTACTCTCACAGCTCTCTTAATTTCAGCGACTATTGCAAGATTTTCTGCCCGATTTTTACTTAGGCTTTGTAGTGCTGTTTTTGAATCAGTGCAGATCACTGCACCATTAGTGTTCCGTTCAAGAAACCTTAACGCCATAATAATGGCAGTTAGCTCCGCTTGTGTTGAAGAGGCATAGTTCTCAATACGCGCTTTTTCTTCATTTCTGCGTTGGAAAGCATTATCCTTAATTACCGTGTATGCTGCACCAGCCCTGCCATTGACAGGATTAGATGACCCGTCAGTGTAGATTTGATCTAGTTCATTTCCGGCTTCTTTATAAATTTCCTCGAGATACTTGTCCCTCATTTCTTGTGGTATCATGTTGGATTTTTTCATTGCCATTTCATTGATGATAATTCTGCACGAGTCTTCCTCCCAGGGAGGTAACCTCTCTACAGGAAGGAGCTCACGGGCTTGCTCAAGCAGGTGAAGTTCTTCGAGGTAGCAGACTGATCTGTGATGCCATTTTTTGCTTCTCCTGTTTCCCCCTGAAAGTAGCACAGAGCTCAGTTTTTCTTAGCAATATCATTGTAATGGGGATCTCTGGCTATCCTAATTGCAAGCTTAACATTCAGCTCCTTAATTCTGCTTTTAACACTGGGTAGGGACAACTTCTCTCGTAGATTAGACGTTTTTGCAGTTCTTGGAACTCCAAGAATGATTGTCATGGCTTCATTCTGAATGCTCTCGAGCCTTTTCATATCGCTTTGGGAGTAGGTGCATAAGGATTAAAACATAGGAGGAGAGCATGAGGTTTCAAGAAAACCTGGACAAACTGAAGGAATGGTCCAACAAATGGTTGTTAGAGTTTAACCCGAGCAAATAACATAAGAACATAAGAACATAAGAACAAAGGTAACTGCAGAAGGCCTATTGGCCCATACGAGGCAGCTCCTATTCTATAACCACCCAATCCCACTCATATACTTGTCCAACCCGTGCTTGAAACAATCGAGGGACCCCACCTCCACAATGTTACGCGGCAATTGGTTCCACAAATCAACAACCCTGTTACTGAACCAGTATTTACCCAAGTCTTTCCTAAATCTAAACTTATCCAATTTATATCCATTGTTTCGTGTTCTGTCCTGTGTTGATACTTTTAATACCCTATTAATATCCCCCCGGTTATGTCCATTCATCCACTTGTAAACCTCTATCATGTCACCCCTAACTCTTCGCCTTTCCAGTGAATGCAACTTAAGCTTTGTTAATCTTTCTTCATATGAAAGATTTCTAATTTGGGGAATTAACTTAGTCATCCTACGCTGGACACGTTCAAGTGAATTTATATCCATTCTATAATATGGCGACCAAAACTGAACTGCATAATCTAAATGGGGCCTAACTAGAGCAAGATATAGCTTGAGAACCACACCAGGTGTCTTGTTACTAACGCTGCGATTAATAAATCCAAGTGTCCGATTTGCCTTATTACGAACATTTATGCATTGATCCTTTTGTTTTAAATTCTTACTAATCATAACTCCCAGATCCCTTTCGCAATCCGACTTCGCAATCACAACACCATCTAGCTCGTATCTTGTAACTCTATCATCATTACCTAACCTCAGAACTTTACATTTATCAGCATTGTAATATAATGTAATATAATGAAGTTAGGTGTAGGGAACAGGTGGCCAGATACAAGGTACCATTTGAGAGATGAAGTTCTTCTAGAATCAGAGATAGAGAAAGACCAATGGGATTATATCACGCCAGACCTGTCCCACACGCACTAGGGAACACAGGTGAAAATTGAGTGCCCAAATTACAAAGAGACATTAGAAAGATTTTTTTAGTGTCAGAGTAGTTAGTTAATAAATGGAATGCACTAGGAAGTGATATGGTGGAGGCTGACCCCATACACAATTTCAAATGTAGATATGATAGAGCCCAGTAGGCTCAGGAATCTGTACACCAGTTGATTGACAGTTCAGAGGCGGGACCAAAGAGCCAGAGCTCAACCCCCCGCAAGCACAACTAGGTGAGTACACATAAACTGACTCGCACACACGTACATTTGGACACTGACAAGCGAACTCGCCTTGTACCATGGCTGCTGACCTGGAGAGAGAGAGAGAGAGAGTGAGAGGGAGAGAGAGTGAGAGAGAGTGAGAGGGAGAGAAAGAGAGAGAGGGAGAGAAAGAGAGAGAGAAAAAGAGAGAGAGAGAGAGAGAAAACGAGAGAGAGAGAAAACGAGAGAGAGAGAGAGAGAGAGAGAAAACTAGAGAGAGAGAGAGAGAGAGAGAGAGAGAGAGAGAGAGAGAGAGAGAGAGAGAGAGAGAGAGAGAGAGAGTAATAGGTTAAATTAGTTTCATATTACTACGGAAAAATATCATTGGTATATGAAAACAAAAGCAAGGGGGAAATAAAGAAATATAAAAATATATATTTTTCATTCAGAAAGGGAAGAGTTCACTTAAAAAAGCGAAAGCAAAAAGCAAAATAGAAATAATAAAAGGGCGGTAGGCATAATGCGTGAAGGGAATGTTGAGGGAATGTGGAGGGAATGTGGAGGGAATGTGGAGAGAATGTGGAGAGAATGTGAAGAGAATGTAGAGGGAATGTGAAGAGAATGTAGAGGGAATGTGAAGAGAATGTAGAGGGAATGTGAAGAGAATGTAGAGGGAATGTGAAGAGAATGTGAAGAGAATGTGAAGGCATGGTAGCTGCATCACACAGAGGAATTGTATAGGGATTTAAGGAGGGGCGATTCGGGGATGGATTAAAGGATGGATATAGGATGGCTTATGGATAATCATGGGTAAGAATGGATGGGTAAAGATGAGCTTGATGGCTTAGGATGGAATGCCTTGGTAATGAAGGTTAAGGATGGATAAATAATGGATAAAGATGGATAAAGATGGGGTTAATATTGGGTATATGGGTACAAAACGGGGTGGATGGGTTAGGTGCATGGATAACGATGGATAAGGATGGGGAAGGGGGGTATATATAATAAGGGATTTAAGAGGAATGTAAAAATATTTCCTTTACTCCAAAAACCATTTGAAATCTCGTACTAAAAATTATACAGCTGCACATAAACAAAAATTGTGACAAGAAAAATGTTACAATTTTCCTTTTAAAGGAAAAATGCGTTTTGTACGCAAACAATAACTCTCGCCAAAACAAAGGAAGAGTTTCAACGCCAAAGTTTACACTCTCGAATAAATTGTTTACAGTCTCTAACAAATTGTTTACAGTCTCTAACAAATTGTTTACAGTCTCTAACAAATTGTTTACAGTCTCTAACAAATTGTTTACACTCTCTAATAAATTGTTTACAGTCTCTAATAAATTGTTTACAGTCTCTAATAAATTGTTTACAGTCTCTAATAAATTGTTTACAGTCTCTAATAAATTGTTTTTCGACGAAACTCAAGACAACGCAATAAACAGATATTATGAGGCCTCTGGCACATTACGCTAGTGATGGTGAGAGTTTTGTCTGTGTGGTTGTGATAGTGAGAACAGTGGTTGTGATGGTGAGGACGGTGGTTGTGATGGTGAGAACAGTGCTTGTGATGGTGAGAACAGTGACTGATAGTGAGAACAGTGGTTGTGATGGTGAGAACAGTGACTGTGATAGTGAGAACGGTGATTGATTTCTGCATGTAGCCTATCATCTTTCACAACACTACAAGTTCTTCAAACTAATTGTTTCTTCGATTTGAGCCCCCAAGACTCAGACACTTGACAGAGGACCTTGACAACCACCAGCTGAGTGACGTCAAGCACAACAAGGTGGACCATGGCTCGCTGGAATTTGACGAACCATGTCAAAAGATGAAAAATCTTCTTGTTTGAGGAGCTGTTCACTTGAGACAGTTAAGCAAGTCCCAGCTGTGTCTGGGTACAAGTGACAGGATGAACAACCCAGCGGGTTTTCTTCCTATTGGGGAGTGTTGTACATAATGTAAGTAATGAAGGCGAAGAGGGAGGGTTGGTGAGGGCGTCGTGGCAACACTTGCTCCGCGCCGCGCCAGCCATATTGGCCGTGTTCCAGCCTTGTCAGCAAGGATTGACGGGGCATGAGTCTTTGACTGTTCTCCCCCTGTTCACCCAGCAGTAACTGGGGACCTGGTTGCTAACCGTTTGGTGGGTCGTGTTCCAGGGAAAGACTGGTAGGGATAAGTTTTACTGTGAGCTATGGGAAGGGAAGGCTCTCAGCCTGCTTACAGGAGTCAGAAGTTATGTACTCCTGTACCCACATTGTTTTAGAGAGAGAGAGAGAGAGAGAGAAGGGTTCCGAACCAAAATTTAAGATGTAAACATGAAAAGTTTTTAATTAAGAAGATTTTAATTTTTAATTAAGAATTTTAATTTAATTAAAACAAAACTATGTGTTTTGAACATAAGAAATTACATTTTGAAAGAAGCTAATTTTAAGATTTTAATAAATCATGAGACGAGCAATGCGGTAGACAAATTAAGTATCTTGACAACTCTATATGTTTTTTTGAATCTTTGACTGAGAAAATATTGAGTCAATACTATGGGGATCGAACCCGCATTCCTGGCCTCCCTTGGCACACACACTTCCGACTGAAATGAGCACCTAAGCCATAATGTGACACTAAGAAAACCACGGAACCAGATTTAATCCCATTGTATGACCTCAATATAAATCCATCACGCTTACAATTGTTAAATCTGCATTCCCTACAAAGGATACTTGATCAACCAGGCTGTGATTCATACGTCAGACTGCAAGCAGCTGCATCTAACAGCCTGCTCGATCAGACCAGCCAAGAGGCCTGGTCAAAGACCGGTCAGCGGGGACGTTGATCCTAGGAACCAAGAAGAGGTTGTGATTCCATTGTGCTCTGTGAGTCTGTGAGTCTGTAAGTCTGTGAGACTGTATAGTCGTGAGCATTAGTCTGTGAGTCTGTGTCGGTGTGTCTATCATTCTTCCACGCAAAGAGCTGTGTTGGTTTGAAAAAAAAAGTATATATGTAATTATTAAAACATTCGTTATAATTACGTAATGGGAAAAGAAACGAAAGTGAATTTTAAGTTGCGACCAATTTGTTTATTTCCTCATTCTTCAATGACCGGTATATTAATATTGCTGAAGTATTGCATACACGTTTGTATCGCCATACTTGGGAACCTTGGTTGGATACTGTAACACCACCAATTGTGACACCACTCTACTGCACCACTATAATGGAACACCACTATAATGGAACACTAAACTAATAATGTAAACACTACTTATCCTGAGTTACACTTCCCCATTGGTTGCACTTGGTAACACTGTTATGGGCTGACATATGATGGTTACACCGGGACTACAAAGTACACTGCCAACAAGGAGATGCTAACACAGGATGAAATACGCTGCCACCATCTGCCTTTGACCATTGAGACTATATCAAGCAACGAGGCAAGAAACATTGCTTGACTTGGAGAGTACTTTCTATGACTGTCATTAATTATGGAGACGGTTATTAGCCACTATATCCAAAAGGCTAAGAGGATTCAACAATTAACACAGACGGGAAATTTAACGAGTTTATTGAGACCAAAATTATGTCAATCACCACTTATAAATCCTACTCTAACACTGGCAAAAATTTAAGAAATTTGGACATGGAACAAAACCTCAGAGATCACGCACATTACCTTAAGACCTGTCTCTCCCTGGCTGAGATGTTCTTCACAGCCCTCTCTGGACCCCGGTGTCCCGCACTCTGCCTGTCTAAGTCCCTACAGGACCTCTATATACAACCCCCACAGGGGGGAGGGGGGAGATCTGCTGTCGCTACCCAGGTCAGAAATGCTAGGGGGGGGGGTCGGGCCACACGTGCACAAACACTTAAACAATATTTCAAAAAGCTTGTTTGACATTCACCATACACTCTTCAAGAGAGGAGTTATTAATTACATGTGTGACTGACCTCTGACCTGGCCAAAAGGGGGAGATCCAGGGATGTTTACACATAAGAATCTGGAGTCTAATTCCCTTGCCTGAAATATTACATACTTGAAACTATGCTGACTAAGACTAACCCAGGAATTTTTAATCAATATACAAGATAAACCGGAGGTCATCTGGGCTGACCTCTTGGAGAAGGCTTCCCTGGGTGTGAACTCTAAGGGGGGGGTCATGGGTGTTACAATACAACCCAGGGATACAACAAGGGACCCAGGGATACAACAGGGACCCAGGGATACAACAGGGAGCCAGGAATACAACAGGGACCCAGGGATACAACAGGGACCCAGGGATACAACAGGGACCCAGGGATACAACAGGGACCCAGGAATACAACAGGGACCCAGGAATACAACAGGGACCCAGGAATACAACAGGGACCCAGGGATACAACAGGGAACCAGGGATACAACAGGGACCCAGGAATACAACAGGGACCCAGGAATGCAACATGGACCCAGGGATACAACAGGGACCCAGGAATACAACAGTGACCCAGGGATACAACAGGGACCCAGGGATACAACAGGGACCCAGGGATACAACAGGGACCCAGGAATACAACAGGGACCCAGGAATACAACAGGGACCCAGGAATACAACAGGGACCCAGGAATACAACAAGGACCCAGGGATACAACAGGGAACCAGGGATACAACAGGGACCCAGGAATACAACAGGGACCCAGGAATGCAACATGGACCCAGGGATACAACAGGGACCCAGGAATACAACAGTGACCCAGGGATACAACAGGGACCCAGGGATACAACAGGGACCCAGGGATACAACAGGGACCCAGGAATACAACAGGGACCCAGGAATACAACAGGGACCCAGGAATACAACAGGGACCCAGGAATACAACAAGGACCCAGGGATACAACAGGGAACCAGGGATACAACAGGGACCCAGGAATACAACAGGGACCCAGGAATGCAACATGGACCCAGGGATACAACAGGGACCCAGGAATACAACAGTGACCCAGGGATACAACAGGGACCCAGGAATACAACAGTGACCCAGGGATACAACAGGGACTCAGGAATACAACGGACCCAGGAATAAAACAGGGACCCAGGAATACAACAGGGACCCAGGGATACAACAGGGACCCAGGAATGCAACATGGACCCAGGGATACAACAGGGACCCAGGAATAAAACAGGGACCCAGGGATACAACAGGGACCCAGGAATAAAACAGGGACCCAGGAATAAAACAGGGACCCAGGAATAAAACAGGGACCCAGGAATACAACAGGGACCCAGGGATACAACAGGGACCCAGGAATGCAACATGGACCCAGGGATACAACAGGGACCCAGGAATAAAACAGGGACCCAGGGATACAACATGGACCCAGGGATACAACAGGGACCCAGGAATAAAACAGGGACCCAGGAATACAAAAGGGACCCCATGTACCTGGGGCTATTGTATATATCACTTAAATATTCCCTACTAATGTGATCACGTTTCAGCATGGTTGAGTTCATGTGTCGTGAAACTGGTATGAGGAGAATATTTTAAAATGGTAGAAGAACTTCTCTTTGTTAACCCAACCACTTGGATTGATGGGTACAGCGAAGACCTCGCTTCTTGCAGGGGTCGGAGTTCGATCCCCGATGGTGCAAGTGGTTGGCACCGTTCCTTCCTTCCGTGCTATCCCAGCTTCCTGTCCTCGTATACCTTCCAAGAGTTACATACTCATGATAGTTTAGTGATTTCCACTCATAATTGCCTTACCTTCGTTAGCTGTATTACACAGCTAGTTAGGGATCAGTTTGGAGCAGTTGTTAAACTTTGTAAAGATGTCAAGTACTGAATGTTATCTCATTATTATTTAATATTTCTCTCTCCTTTCCATCTTCCGTCTCATTCTTTTCGCTTAATATGTCTCCTTCTTACTCTATGTCTTGTCTCTTTCCTTCTTGTCTTAAATCTTACTGCAATTATTCTCTCTCGTTCTCTCGTCCAATCATTCTTTTGCCCACTCTTCCCATTCTTCCTCCTTTCCTCCCTCTCTATCTCTCTTTTGCCTTGGCTGCCTCTCTCTTTGCCTCCCATTCCGCCCTCCCTCCCTAACCCCCCCCCCCCCCTCCCTGCCATCCCTCCCTCCCTGCCATCCCTCCCTCCCTCCCTCCCTCCCTCCCTCCCTCCCTCCCTCCCTCCCTCCCTGCCCTCCCTCCCTCCCTCCCTGCCCTCCCTCCCCCCTCCCACCAACCACACTATGCAATATTCTCAACACGTACATGTTTAACATTGTGAGTTCCAATGTTAAATATTCCAACAGGACCCTCGCCTGTTGATTAACCTTTCAGGTCTCCCAGAGTTCCGTCCCATGTTAACTTTCACCATGTTAACATTAGTTTCACCCGGCTGATGTTAAATTATTGCCTCGATATGGAAAGTTAACACGCAAATTACTAGCATAAGGTGCATGAGAGTGGACTGGAACTTTTTTTTCTGGAAGGTAAATTAGTTAACATTTATGGAAGTTAACATTATACCTGGTAGGAGCCGTACCATTTTTACATGGAAGAGAAGTCAAAATCTTACGAGGAAGCGAAAGGAACCAATGAGCAGAAAAAGGAAATAATGGTTCATAATTAAATAAGAGATTGAAGGTATGAGGGAAAAGATAGCTTGATATCACTGCACAAGACGGCTGAGGAATGTAAGAAAGGTATTACCAGACCATACTTGAAGACGGGGTCCATAACTCACACCCTCTTGAGGCCAGGGGGCCAGATTCACGAAGCAGTTACGCAAGCACTTACGAACCTGTACATCTTTTCTCAATCTTTGGCGCCTTTATTTACAATTAGTAAACAGTTAATGAGCTCCGAAGCACCAGGAGGCTGTTTATAACAATAACAACAGTTGATTGGGAAGTTTTCATGCGTGTAAACTGTTTAATAAATTCGTCAAAGATTGATTAAAAATGTACACGCTCGTAAGTGCTTGCGTAACTGCTTCGTGAATCTGGGCCCAGAAACTCATCGGTTTCTGCTGAGGAGAGAAACTGCTGCAGCTCTGTGGAGGGAGACTTTCTAGTCAAACTTTGACGTTAAATTAGACAAACAGGTCTTAGTTTTGGTAGAGGTGGAACTTTAACATGAAGATAGACCAGCTGATACATGTTAATCTTCTTGTTTGGGGAGCTGTTCACTTGAGACAGTTAAGCAAGTTCCAGCTGTGTCTGGGTACAAGTGACAGGATGAACAACCCAGCAGGTTTTCTTCCTATTGGGGAGTGTTGTACATGCTGCTATGGCGGTATGTCCACTCACAGGACGAGTGGCACTGCCCAATAAACTCGCCCCTCGGGGCAAAATTTAAATTTAAATTTAACCCGCCCAGCTTAAGGTTTCACAACATCATGAAAATGGTTAATTTAAAATGACCTAACCTAACCCAAGAGACTACGCCAGAGGATTCACCACTCCCATCACCTGAGGACCCGTCACTCCCATCACCTGAGGACCCATCACTCCCATCACCTCAAGACCCACCACTCCCATCACCTCAGGACCCACCACTCCTATCACCTCAGGACCTGTCACTCCCATCACCTCACGACCCACCACTCCCATCACCTCAGGACCCATCACTCCCATCACCTCAGGACCCATCACTCCCATCACCTCAGGACCCACCACTCCCATCACCTCAGGACCCATCACCTCAGGACCCACCACTCCCATCACCTGAGGACCCATCACCTCAGGACCCACCACTCCCATCACCTGAGGACCCATCACTCCCATCACCTCAGGACCACCACTCCCATCACCTCAGGACCCACCACTCCCATGTAACACCCATGACCCCCCCCCCTAGAGATCTCACCCAGGGAAGCCTTCTCCAAGAGGTCAGCCCAGATGACCTGATTATCTTGTATGTTGATTAAAAAATTCCTGGGTTAGTCTTAGTCAGCATAGTTTCAAGTATGTAATATTTCATGATACTCTTGTCAAACATTGCAATGGAATTAGACCCCAGATTCTTATGTGTAAACATCCATGGATCTCCCCCCCCCCCTTTTAGCCAGGTCAGAGGTCAGTCACGCACGTAATTAATAACTCCTCTCTTGAAGAGTGTATGGTGAATGTCAAACAAGCTTAATTGAAATATTCTTAAGTGTTTGTGCACGTGTGGCCCGACCCCCTTGCATTTTTGGTGTAGGTAGCAACAGCAAATCTTCCCCTCCCCCTCTTGGGGTTGTATATAGAGGTCTTGTGGAGATTTAGTGGGAACAGAGTGCCGGACACCGGGGTCCAGAGAGGGCTGTAGAGAACATCGCACAGCAGGGAGTGACAGAGTGAATCCACCGGAGGGAGAGACAGAGGTCTTAAGGTCTTAAGGTAAAGTGTGATCTCTGAGGGTTTTGTTCCATGTCTAAATTTCTTAACTATTTGCCAGTGTTAGAGTAGGATTTATAGTGGTGATTAGCATAATTTTGTTCTCAATAAACTCATGTTAAATTTCCCGTCTGTGTCAATTGTTGAATCCTCTTAGCCTTTTGGATATAGTGGCTGACAACCGTCCCATAATTAATGACAGTCATAGAAAGTACTCTCCAAGTGAAACAATGTTTCTTGCCTCGTTGCTTGATATAGTCTCAATGGTCAAGGCAGATGGTGGCAGCGTTTTTTTAATCCTGTGTAGCATTTCCTTCTTGGCAGTGTATCTTTTGGTGCCGGTGTAACCATCATATGTCAACTCATATTACAGTGTTCAATAACAGTGTTACCAAGGGCAACCGATAGGAAGTGTTACTCAGGATAAGAAGTAGTAGTGTTTACATTATTACTTTAGTATATATTTTATAGTGGTGTTACATTATAGAGGTGTTAAACCCATCACCTCAGGACCCGTCACTCCCATCACCTCAGGACCCACCACTCCCATCACCTCAGGACCCACCACTCCCATCACCTCAGAACCCATCACTCCCATCACCTCAGGACCCGTCACTCCCATCACCTCAGAACCCATCACTCCCATCACCTCAGGACCCACCACTCCCATCACCTCAGGACCCACCACTCCCATCACCTCAGGACCCGTCACTCCCATCACCTCAGGACCCACCACTCCCATCACCTCAGGACCCATCACTCCCATCACCTCAGGACCCATCACCTCAGAACCCATCACTCCCATCACCTGAGAACCCGTCACTCCCATCACCTCAGGACCCACCACTCCCATCACCTCAGAACCCATCACTCCCATCACCTCAGGACCCACCACTCCCATCACCTCAGAACCCATCACTCCCATCACCTCAGGACCCACCACTCCCATCACTCCCATCACCTCAGGACCCACCACTCCCATCACCTCAGGACCCACCACTCCCATCACCTCAGGACCCACCACTCCCATCACCTCAGGACCCACCACTCCCATCACCTCAGAACCCATCACTCCCATCACCTCAGGACCCACCACTCCCATCACCTCAGAACCCATCACTCCCATCACCTCAGGACCCACCACTCCCATCACCTCAGGACCCATCACTCCCATCACCTCAGGACCCACCACTCCCATCACCTCAGGACCCACCACTCCCATTACCTGAGGACCCGTCACTCCCATCACCTCAGGACCCACCACTCCCATCACCTCAGGACCCATCACTCCCATCACCTCAGGACCCACCACTCCCATCACCTCAGGACCCACCACTCCCATTACCTGAGGACCCGTCACTCCCATCACCTGAGGATCCGTCACTCCCATCACCTCAGAACCCATCACTCCCATCACCTCAGGACCCACCACTCCCATCACCTGAGGATCCATCACTCCCATCACCTCAGGACCCACCACTCCCATCACCTCAGGACCCACCACTCCCATTACCTGAGGACCCGTCACTCCCATCACCTGAGGATCCGTCACTCCCATCACCTCAGGACCCACCACTCCCATCACCTCAGGACCCACCACTCCCATCACCTCAGGATCCATCACTCCCATCACCTCAGGACCCACCACTCCCATCACCTCAGAACCCGTCACTCCCATCACCTGAGAACCCGTCACTCCCATCACCTGAGGATCCATCACTCCCATCACCTCAGGACCCACCACTCCCATCACCTCAGGACCCACCACTCCCATCACCTGAGAACCCATCACTCCCATCACCTGAGAACCCATCACTCCCATCACCTCAGAACCCGTCACTCCCATCACCTCAGGACCCGTCACTCCCATCACCTGAGGACCCACCACTCCCATCACCTGAGAACCCGTCACTCCCATCACCTGAGGATCCATCACCTCAGGACCCACCACTCCCATCACCTGAGAACCCGTCACTCCCATCACCTGAGAACCCGTCACTCCCATCACCTCAGAACCCGTCACTCCCATCACCTCAGGACCCACCACTCCCATCACCTCAGGACCCACCACTCCCATCACCTCAGGACCCGTCACTCCCATCACCTCAGGACCCATCACTCCCATCACCTCAGGACCCGTCACTCCCATCACCTCAGGACCCACCACTCCCATCACCTCAGAACCCGTCACTCCCATCACCTCAGGACCCACCACTCCCATCACCTCAGGACCCACCACTCCCATCACCTCAGGACCCGTCACTCCCATCACCTCAGGACCCACCACTCCCATCACCTCAGGACCCGTCACTCCCATCACCTCCAGTCGTGGCCAGTTAAAGCTACCTATTACTGCTCGCATCCCAAACTTTAAATGCAAGTTGTGTGAATTTCAACCATCCCGATGCATCCCAGACTTTGCTTTTAATGACACTTAAGGCAATTTACACTTAATGACGGAGCTCTCTGTCAGTTGGCGGCCCGCTGCTGCTGCTGCTGCTGCTGCTGCTGCTGCTGCTGCTGCTGCTGCTGCTGCTGCTGCTGCTCTTACTGTTGGTGGTAATTGTTGACACCTAAATTGTTCATGTTGTCAGCGGGAGAACACAGTGTTGTCATTTTATGAAGATTTTGTTAGGTTAATAGAGTAACACAAGAAAAGTCTCTTGTTGGCAGGTAAGAAATTGTCCCCCGGGAAATATTTTGTTAACAAGAGGAGAAATTGTTGTAAGGAGACTAGAGCTGCCGCCAGGTGAGGCACTGTTGTCAGCAGGTGAGGCACTGTTGTCAGCAGGTGAGGCACTGTTGTCAGCAGGTGAGGCACTGCTGTCAGCAGGTGAGGCACTGCTGTCAGCAGGTGAGGCACTGTTGTCAGCAGGTGAGGCACTGCTGTCAGCAGGTGAGGCACTGTTGTCAGCAGGTGAGGCACTGCTGTCAGCAGGTGAGGCACTGTTGTCAGCAGGTGAGGCACTGCTGTCAGCAGGTGAGGCACTGTTGTCAGCAGGTGAGGCACTGTTGTCAGCAGGTGAGGCACTGTTGTCAGCAGGTGAGGCACTGTTGTCAGCAGGTGAGGCACTGTTGTCAGCAGGTGAGGCACTGCTGTCAGCAGGTGAGGCACTGCTGTCAGCAGGTGAGGCACTGTTGTCAGCAGGTGAGGCACTGTTGTCAGCAGGTGAGGCACTGCTGTCAGCAGGTGAGGCACTGTTGTCAGCAGGTGAGGCACTGTTGTCAGCAGGTGAGGCACTGCTGTCAGCAGGTGAGGCACTGTTGTCAGCAGGTGAGGCACTGTTGTCAGCAGGTGAGGCACTGTTGTCAGCAGGTGAGGCACTGCTGTCAGCAGGTGAGGCACTGTTGTCAGCAGGTGAGGCACTGTTGTCAGCAGGTGAGGCACTGCTGTCAGCAGGTGAGGCACTGCTGTCAGCAGGTGAGGCACTGTTGTCAGCAGGTGAGGCACTGCTGTCAGCAGGTGAGGCACTGTTGTCAGCAGGTGAGGCACTGCTGTCAGCAGGTGAGGCACTGTTGTCAGCAGGTGAGGCACTGTTGTCAGCAGGTGAGGCACTGTTGTCAGCAGGTGAGGCACTGCTGTCAGCAGGTGAGGCACTGCTGTCAGCAGGTGAGGCACTGTTGTCAGCAGGTGAGGCACTGTTGTCAGCAGGTGAGGCACTGTTGTCAGCAGGTGAGGCACTGTTGTCAGCAGGTGAGGCACTGTTGTCAGCAGGTGAGGCACTGTTGTCAGCAGGTGAGGCACTGCTGTCAGCAGGTGAGGCACTGTTGTCAGCAGGTGAGGCACTGTTGTCAGCAGGTGAGGCACTGCTGTCAGCAGGTGAGGCACTGTTGTCAGCAGGTGAGGCACTGTTGTCAGCAGGTGAGGCACTGCTGTCAGCAGGTGAGGCACTGCTGTCAGCAGGTGAGGCACTGCTGTCAGCAGGTGAGGCACTGCTGTCAGCAGGTGAGGCACTGCTGTCAGCAGGTGAGGCACTGTTGTCAGCAGGTGAGGCACTGTTGTCAGCTGGTGAGGCACTGCTGTCAGCAGGTGAGGCACTGCTGTCAGCAGGTGAGGCACTGCTGTCAGCAGGTGAGGCACTGCTGTCAGCAGGTGAGGCACTGCTGTCAGCTGGTGAGGCACTGCTGTCAGCTGGTGAGGCACTGTTGTCAGCAGGTGAGGCACTGCTGTCAGCAGGTGAGGCACTGCTGTCAGCAGGTGAGGCACTGTTGTCAGCAGGTGAGGCACTGCTGTCAGCAGGTGAGGCACTGCTGTCAGCAGGTGAGGCACTGCTGTCAGCAGGTGAGGCACTGTTGTCAGCAGGTGAGGCACTGCTGTCAGCTGGTGAGGCACTGCTGTCAGCAGGTGAGGCACTGCTGTCAGCAGGTGAGGCACTGCTGTCAGCAGGTGAGGCACTGCTGTCAGCAGGTGAGGCACTGCTGTCAGCAGGTGAGGCACTGTTGTCAGCAGGTGAGGCACTGCTGTCAGCAGGTGAGGCACTGCTGTCAGCAGGTGAGGCACTGCTGTCAGCAGGTGAGGCACTGCTGTCAGCAGGTGAGGCACTGTTGTCAGCAGGTGAGGCACTGTTGTCAGCAGGTGAGGCACTGCTGTCAGCAGGTGAGGCACTGTTGTCAGCAGGTGAGGCACTGTTGTCAGCAGGTGAGGCACTGCTGTCAGCAGGTGAGGCACTGTTGTCAGCAGGTGAGGCACTGCTGTCAGCAGGTGAGGCACTGTTGTCAGCAGGTGAGGCACTGCTGTCAGCAGGTGAGGCACTGCTGTCAGCAGGTGAGGCACTGCTGTCAGCAGGTGAGGCACTGCTGTCAGCAGGTGAGGCACTGCTGTCAGCAGGTGAGGCACTGCTGTCAGCAGGTGAGGCACTGCTGTCAGCAGGTGAGGCACTGCTGTCAGCAGGTGAGGCACTGCTGTCAGCAGGTGAGGCACTGCTGTCAGCAGGTGAGGCACTGCTGTCAGCAGGTGAGGCACTGCTGTCAGCAGGCGAGGCACTGCTGTCAGCAGGTGAGGCACTGCTGTCAGCAGGTGAGGCACTGCTGTCAGCAGGCGAGGCACTGCTGTCAGCAGGTGAGGCACTGTGACACTGTTGTCAGCGCGTGGATCAAGTGAGTATGAGTGTCGGGTGGAAGAAAGTGATAACACGCATGTTGGGCATGATGGTGAGGATGATGTTGAAGGTGATGTTTGTGGAGGAAGGTGATGTTTGTGGAGGAAGGTGATGACATGTTGGGAGAATGTTCAGGAGAACACAGAACATAATGATGGGAAGGGATGTTCTTAAGAACGAGCGGAATACACAGTATACCACACAGGACAGAATTTTATTGAGCAGCATCCTGAAAAACCATTGATATCGAATTACAAGACGAGCCAATTGTGTTGTATCTCTGATGAACCTGATAAGATCACTCCAAGAGTTGTTCCTACCTGCTGTGGGGTCATTAACGCTGTAATGATCATTACTACAGTCATTAGAGAGGACTGTTGCTCTGGTACGGGCAATACATGACACAAAATTATTGAAATACTGTATGACTATACAGACTATAAAGCTTACAATTTCGGGTAATATCGGGAGGTGTGTTTTGTGTGTAGCCATCTGTATAGCTCTCCCTCCCCATCTGTATAGCTCTCCCTCCCCATCTGTATAGCTCTCCCTCCCCATCTGTATAGCTCTCCCTCCCCATCTGTATAGCTCTCCCTCCCCATCTGTATAGCTCTCCCTCCCCATCTGTATAGCTCTCCCTCCCCATCTGTATAGCTCTCCACCTATAGCTCTCCCTCCCCATCTGTATAGCTCTCCCTCCCCATCTGTATAGCTCTCCCTCCTCACCTGTATAGCTCTCCCTCCCCATCTGTATAGCTCTCTCTCCCCATCTGTATAGACCTGTATAGCTCTCCCTCCCCATCTGTCTCTCTCTCCCCATCTGTATAGCCCTAAATCTCCAGTCAATCACATCTTTTATTAAGAAAACGTCGTAGTAAATCAGTTAAGTCTGGAATTCTCCCTGTAGCCTGGATGGTCCCTAATGTGGTGTTGTCCCTGTAGCATGGATGGTCCCTAATGTGGTGTTGTCCCTGTAGCATGGATGGTCCCTAATGTGGTGTTGTCCCTGTAGCCCTTATGTGGTGTTGTCCCTGTAGCATGGATGGTCCCTAATGTGGTGTTGTCCCTGTAGCCTGGATGGTCCCTAATGTGGTGTTGTCCCTGTAGCATGGATGGTCCCTAATGTGGTGTTGTCCCTGTAGCCTGGATGGTCCCTTATGTGGTGTTGTCCCTGTAGCCTGGATGGTCCCTAATGTGGTGTTGTCCCTGTAGCATGGATGGTCCCTAATGTGGTGTTGTCCCTGTAGCCTGGATGGTCCCTTATGTGGTGTTGTCCCTGTAGCCTGGATGGTCCCTAATGTGGTGTTGTCCCTGTAGCATGGATGGTCCCTAATGTGGTGTTGTCCCTGTAGCCTGGATGGTCCCTAATGTGGTGTTGTCCCTGTAGCCTGGATGGTCCCTAATGTGGTGTTGTCCCTGTAGCATGGATGGTCCCTAATGTGGTGTTGTCCCTGTAGCCTGGATGGTCCCTAATGTGGTGTTGTCCCTGTAGCCTGGATGGTCCCTAATGTGGTGTTGTCCCTGTAGCATGGATGGTCCCTAATGTGGTGTTGTCCCTGTAGCCTGGATGGTCCCTTAATGTGGTGTTGTCCCTGTAGCCTGGATGGTCCCTAATGTGGTGTTGTCCCTGTAGCATGGATGGTCCCTAATGTGGTGTTGTCCCTGTAGCATGGATGGTCCCTAATGTGGTGTTGTCCCTGTAGCCTGGATGGTCCCTTATGTGGTGTTGTCCCTGTAGCCTGGATGGTCCCTAATGTGGTGTTGTCCCTGTAGCATGGATGGTCCCTTATGTGGTGTTGTCCCTGTAGCCTGGATGGTCCCTAATGTGGTGTTGTCCCTGTAGCATGGATGGTCCCTAATGTGGTGTTGTCCCTGTAGCATGGATGGTCCCTAATGTGGTGTTGTCCCTGTAGCCTGGATGGTCCCTAATGTGGTGTTGTCCCTGTAGCCTGGATGGTCCCTAATGTGGTGTTGTCCCTGTAGCCTGGATGGTCCCTAATGTGGTGTTGTCCCTGTAGCCTGGATGGTCCCTAATGTGGTGTTGTCCCTGTAGCCTGGATGGTCCCTAATGTGGTGTTGTCCCTGTAGCCTGGATGGTCCCTAATGTGGTGTTGTCCCTGTAGCATGGATGGTCCCTAATGTGGTGTTGTCCCTGTAGCATGGAAGGTTGCAAACGTTGCTAATTACTTGAATTGCAAATCTCAGTTCGTAATCACCTTCAAAACGGTTAATAAACTAATGTACAACAGTGTGGATACAGTAGAGTGTGTTCATATCTTCCATTATCATTTATAATCAGTTAAGGGGAAAGCGGTAGATAGTAAGTGTTAAAAATTATAATTCTTTGTATCTTCATGTTATCAAGGACTCCGACACTTCTGCCTGATATAACAATCAGGTTGAAGCACCACGTGTCCCAACTGTAAACAACTCTACGTGTTTCTCACCTGTAAACAACTCCACGTGTTCCTCAACTGTAAACAACTCCACGTCTTTCTCACCTGTAAACAACTCCACGTGTTCCTCAACTGTAAACAACTCCACGTGTTTCTCACCTGTAAACAACTCCACGTGTTCCTCAACTGTAAACAACTCCACGTGTTCCTCACCTGTAAACAACTCCACGTGTTCCTCACCTGTAAACAACTCCACGTGTCCCTCAACTGTAAACAACTCCACGTGTTCCTCACCTGTAAACAACTCCACGTGTCCCTCAACTGTAAACAACTCCACGTGTTCCTCAACTGTAAACAACTCCACGTGTCCCTCAACTGTAAACAACTCCACGTGTCCCTCACCTGTAAACAACTCCGTGTTCCACAACTGTAAACAAGTCCCGTCAACTGTAAACAACTCCACGTGTCCCTCAACTGTAAACAACTCCACGTGTCCCTCAACTGTAAACAACTCCACGTGTCCCTCACCTGTAAACAACTCCACGTGTTCCACAACTGTAAACAAGTCCACGTGTCCATCAACTGTAAACAACTCCACGTGTCCCTCAACTGTAAACAACTCCACGTGTCCCTCCAACTGTAAACAACTCCACGTGTCCCTCAACTGTAAACAACTCCACGTGTCCCTCACCTGTAAACAACTCCACGTGTTCCACAACTGTAAACAAGTCCACGTGTCCATCAACTGTAAACAACTCCACGTGTCCCTCAACTGTAAACAACTCCACGTGTCCCTCAACTGTAAACAACTCCACGTGTCCCTCAACTGTAAACAACTCCACGTGTCCCTCACCTGTAAACAACTCCACGTGTTCCACAACTGTAAACAAGTCCACGTGTCCCTCACCTGTAAACAAGTCCACGTGTCCCTCAACTGTAAACACGTCCACGTGTCCCTCAACTGTAAACAAGTCCACGTGTCCCTCAACTGTAAACAAGTCCACGTGTCCCTCAACTGTAAACAAGTCCACGTGTCCCTCAACTGTAAACAAGTCCACGTGTCCCTCAACTGTAAACAAGTCCACGTGTTCCACAACTGTAAACAAGTCCACGTGTCCCTCACCTGTAAACAACTCCGCGTGTCCATCAACTGTAAACAAGTCCACGTGTCCCTCACCTGTAAACAACTCCACGCGTCCATCAACTGTAAACAAGTCCACGTGTCCCTCAACTGTAAACAACTCCACGTGTTCCACAACTGTAAACAAGTCCACGTGTCCATCAACTGTAAACAAGCTGTTATGAGTTAGCAATACCCAACAAGGGGGGCATGAGGTAATTAGCTTGTACTCACAGGTGTCGCCCAGAGTAGGCTGCGTGAAATTAGCTCTAAACACCTGAATGTTTGACCCTGAAGACAAACTGCCAGTGTAACAAACAAGCACTATGTCAATACTAACTAGCGCCATGATAAAACTATCACAGTAAAAAGAGTAACCACCACCGTGACAAAGACTGACTAGCACAGTATTTACCAGTTGATTGACAGTTGAGAGGCGGGACCAAAGAGCCAAAGCTCAACCCCCGCAAGCACAATTAGGTGAGTACAGACAAAACTAGCAGGTAAGTGCCATTTTCCGAGACGGTAGTTGAAGACCTTGCCTGGTTGTCTTCAACTTGTCCTCTGACTTACACAGGAGGCCATCCTTCCTTCCTCCTCCTGTTTAGTGTAGTTGGTGAATTTGGCTTCCCCCCCCCCTCCCCCCCCCGTTCCCAAGACACCAGTGAACATAGTATCCAAGAGTATCGTTAATTCGACGTTAAACAACGATGTTAACGTTGATTCAACGGTGTCGTTGTTAATTCAAAATTAAATAACAGGAAACGGTACACTGCGGACTCACTATAGCCCGTGCTACTTGGAACTTTAAGTTCCAGGTAGCGAATCTTAGACAACAACAACAACAACAAACAGGAAACAATTATAATCAGTCAATGAATAATAATTCAGTCGGTCATTTAACAGTTAAAGTCATCCACTCATCAAAAAATATTATTCGTCCACTCATATTATTCATCCTGGGTTATGAACAATAATCATCTTAAAAGCTTACTTCAAAGATTATTCAAGTCGATTTTGCATTATAAAAATACTTATCGGACACATAAAACTAATTAAAGATTACAATGAAAATAATAATTATCTACCGCTTTACAAAAGGGCATAATTGCCGATATATTTACTGCCAACTTTTGTCAAGCTTCGCATAGATCGTGTCAAGTTTGTAATGGTTTGTCAAGCTTGGTATGGTTCGTGTCAAGCTTGGTATGGTTCGTGTCAAGTTTGTAATGGTTCGTGTCAAGCTTGGTATGGTTCGTGTCAAGTTTGTAATGGTTCGTGTCAAGCTTGGTATGGTTCGTGTCGTTTGTAATGGTTCGTGTCAAGCTTGGTATGGTTAGTGTCAAGTTTGTAATGGTTCGTGTCAAGCTTGGCATAGATCGTGTCAAGTGTGTAATGGTTCGTGTCAAGCTTGGTATGGTTCGTGTCAAGTTTGTAATGGTTTGTGTCAAGCTTGGTATGGTTCGTGTCGTTTGTAATGGTTCGTGTCAAGCTTGGTATGGTTAGTGTCAAGTTTGTAATGGTTTGTGTCAAGCTTGGCATAGATCGTGTCAAGTGTGTAATGGTTCGTGTCAAGCTTGGCATAGATCGTGTCAAGTGTGTAATGGTTCGTGTCAAGCTTGGTATGGTTCGTGTCAAGTTTGTAATGGTTTGTCAAGCTTGGTATGGTTCGTGTCGTTTGTAATGGTTCGTGTCAAGCTTGGTATGGTTCGTGTCAAGTTTGTGATGGTTTGTGTCAAGCTTGGTATGGTTCGTGTCGTTTGTAATGGTTCGTGTCAAGCTTGGTATGGTTAGTGTCAAGTTTGTAATGGTTTGTGTCAAGCTTGGTATGGTTCGTGTCGTTTGTAATGGTTCGTGTCAAGCTTGGTATGGTTAGTGTCAAGTTTGTAATGGTTTGTGTCAAGCTTGGTATGGTTCGTGTCGTTTGTAATGGTTTGTGTCAAGCTTGGTATGGTTCGTGTCGTTTGTAATGGTTCGTGTCAAGCTTGGTATGGTTCGTGTCGTTTGTAATGGTTCGTGTCAAGCTTGGTATGGTTCGTGTCGTTTGTAATGGTTCGTGTCAAGCTTGGTATGGTTCGTGTCAAGTTTGTAATGGTTCGTGTCAAGCTTGGTATGGTTCGTGTCGTTTGTAATGGTTTGTGTCAAGCTTGGTATGGTTCGTGTCGTTTGTAATGGTTCGTGTCAAGTTTGGTATGGTTCGTGTCAAGTTTGTAATGGTTCGTGTCAAGCTTGGTATGGTTCGTGTCAAGCTTGGTATGGATCGTGTCAAACTTGGTATGGTTTGTGTCAAGCTTGGTATGGTTCGTGTCAAGCTTGGTATGGATCGTGTCAAACTTGGTATGGTTTGTGTCAAGCTTGGTATGGTTCGTGTCAATCTTGATATGGTTCGTGTCAAACTTGGTATGGTTTGTGTCAAGCTTGGTATGGTTCGTGTCAAGCTTGATATGGTTCGTGTCAAACTTGGTATGATTTGTGTCAAGCTTGGTATGGTTCGTGTCAAGCTTGGTATGGTTCGTGTCAAGCTTGGTATGGTTCGTGTCAAGCTTGGAATGGTTTGTGTCAAGCTTGGTATGGTTCGTGTCAAGCTTGGTATGGTTCGTGTCAAGCTTGTAATGGTTCGTGTCAAGCTTGGTATGGTTCGTGTCAAGCTTGGTATGGTTCGTGTCAAGCTTGGTATGGTTCGTGTAAGCTTGGTATGGTTCGTGTCAAGCTTGGTATGGTTCGTGTCAAGCTTGATATGGTTCGTGTCAAACTTGGTATGGTTTGTGTCAAGCTTGGTATGGTTCGTGTCAAGCTTGATATGGTTCGTGTCAAACTTGGTATGGTTTGTGTCAAGCTTGGTATGGTTCGTGTCAAGCTTGGTATGGTTCGTGTCAAGCTTGGTATGGTTCGTGTCAAGCTTGGAATGGTTTGTGTCAAGCTTGGTATGGTTCGTGTCAAGCTTGGTATGGTTCGTGTCAAGCTTGTAATGTTCGTGTCAAGCTTGGTATGGTTCGTGTAAGCTTGGTATGGTTCGTGTCAAGCTTGGTATGGTTCGTGTCAAGCTTGGTATGGTTCGTGTCAAGCTTGGTATGGATCGTGTAAGCTTGGTATGGTTCGTGTCACGAACCATGTCAAGCATGTCATGGCATGGTTTGTGTCAAGCTTGGCATGGTTCGTGACAAACTTGACATGGTTCATGTCGAACTTGGCATGGTTCGTGTCACGATATATACCTCACCGTATTTTTTACTGTGTGGTTTTTGGTCCAGTCCGTCCTCATCTAATAGGTCGCGTTTTTTACGTTACTGTAACCAACTTGACAAATGCACACTATTAATTAAGAAAAGTAACGGCTCACAAATATTAAAGTTTTCTAAGTATGGAACTCAGTAAGTTAGGTGGAATGCTCCGGTTTGTACGTTTTTAGTTAGGCTATAAGGTTGGATTTTGCTTCACAGTTCACCATAAATTGTTCCTTTATAACTAGGCTACTGCCGCCCACAGGAGGGTAGGCTATGGGACGCATAATAAATGAAGAAAATAAATAAAACCATCACCGCTCGAGTCCGTACACGCACACACTCATATGCTCCCCCCCCCCCCCCCCTAAAAGAAAACGTCATTTTCAATAAAAAGTGTGATGAAAATTACTAAAAAATAAATTATCAGCAAAATATCCGTTGTGCATTAGGTTCGTCGCGCATGGTGACATGCACCTAAAGAAATAATTCACAAACGAAGGATATCCTTTTGTCTGAAATAATTCGAAGGATATCCTTTTGTCTGAAATCCTTCGAAGGATATCCTTTTGTCTGAAATATATCCCCAGCTGGATATTTGGAGTTGTGAAGGAACTACTGTCACAAAGAGATGGCTAACTGACTGACATGTTCAGTCCTCTTGAAGTCAGATCTATTTTGCATGACGGAAGGAACCATCAGGAGAAAGCGCCGAGTAATTACCACTATAGCACTGAGAAGGGGTGAGGATATGGATTTGGGATGGAAAGGGGGAAAGGAATGGAGCGCAACCATTTGGACGGTCGGGGATTGAACGCCGACCTGCAAGAAGCGAGACTGTCCAGCCCAATATGTTGCATGAACTGTGTGTTGGGAGTGATTTTTTTTTATCCAGGATAACCCTAGACTCCGTTGATGGATAATGCTGAGGGCGTGAAAGTATACCTTCGTGAAGTTCTAAGTTATGTTAGTTTTTTCAATTGTCTTTTCATCATCCTGCTTTTGTGATATAAGGTATGTTAATATCTGTATTACTGCTCTAATGGTAAGCTACACTTTATTTGTGAAATATATATATATATATATATATATATATATATATATATATATATATATATATATATATATATATATATATATATATATATATATATATATATATCACCTTGAAAGCTGAATGTCTCTCACTTGATGCCAGAAATGCAGTTTCATTTAAACAGCTGTACACCGGTTTAGTTGTCATTATTGTAATGAATTAGACAACTGTACACCTGTTTAGTTCAACCGTTATTGTAATGATTTGTACACGTTGTTGCAAACATATTTCTGACTGAATTTGTCAACTGTGATGGTTTAAATAATCACTTATAAGTGTAGCTTCTAAATCTAAATCTAAATCAAGAATATCCATTATATAATTACAGATATTACATGTTATATTATAATTAAGACCCTTAGCTAAATACTTTACTGTAAATTTGTGTAAACTAACTCATCTATAACTGTACAAACATTCATGAATAAAGTATTTCAATTTCAATTTGATTAATTGTCTGGACAAGGAAGTTATGTTCGATGATGTGCATCAATATTTTCATTAATCACCTCTTGATCTGATGGAGTGTTCCAGCTTATGTTTGTACTTGTAAAATTCCAGTGTTTCTAAGTATCACTTAGTTCTAAGTAGTGTTTTGTGACTGAAGTGGGAGATGGGGAGTAGGATGTGGAAGAATGTGGGAGGGTGTAGGAGGGCGTGGGAGGATGTGGGAGGGTGTGGAGGGTGTGGAGGGTGTGGGAGGATGTGGGAGGGTGTAGGAGGGTGTGGGAAGGTGTGGGAGGATGTGGGAGGGTGTAGGAGGGTGTGGGAGGGTGTGGGAAGGAGGGTGTGGGAGGGTGTGGGAAGGTGTGGGAGGGTGTGGGAAGGTGTGGGAGGATGTGGGAGGGTGTAGGAGGATGAGAGAGAGTGTGGGCAGGTGGGTAAGATCCAATATGGTAATCCACCTTTCTATAGTAATAGTACTTACAACAACTATTTGGTCGAGCATACAAATATGTACTGTTGGGACCCTTAACTTTCCAACAGTACAAAGAGAATGAGGGAACCTAATGCTGGAGAATCAGGGAAGGAAGCTGGAAAAGCAGCAACAAGCCTAAACACACCTAATTTAATAATTACAATTACTATTATTTTCATTATTATTGTAATTACATAATAATAATCATGATAATCATAATAATATCAAAATAATAATGTTAGTAATATTTCAACAATATTTTCCTATTGGCTGAGATATTTACACTTGGCTGTGTTGGCTCAAGTGTGTGGCCCCGGCACCTACGGTACGCAGGCAGGTGTCTGCAGGC